CAACAAGCCCTGCACCAACAAACCAGAACACAATTCAGTAACAGGAACAATTTCACAGTGGACAAGCATTAACCACCAAAGGACTATGCAACTCAAAGAAAGAAAAAAAACAAGAAACTATACCGCCATGCACAGCGAAAATGTCCAGACTCATTACCAGAAACAGCAAAGAAGTGAGCATTAAAATTCAAAACAACAGATACCCAAGACAACCCCATATGGCACATACCAACTTTCCATGTAAACTAAACAAAAACAGCATTAAAGTAGATAACCAGTTAAGACCAAAGGGCTAAATCAAAGTCCAAAGATAGAAACTTGAAACAAATAGAAAATTGACAAATTGGAAAGCATAGCTAAATTACAACAAAATCATCAACAACTAGAAACAAAAGCTAGAACCCCACCAAGCACCACCAAGAATGCAATTCATCACCGAATTGATAAACTTTAAAAGTTGAAACTGCAAATGGGCAAATGTTTCTCTGTGCAAATAATAAAGAAAGAAAACCCCAACCATCATCAAATTTAATAACTTTTTTTTTTTAAAGGGCACAAGTGCTTGCCGACCTGCTACACTGTTGGCAAAACCTCTGTTCAAGACCAGCAACAATGACCATGGGGGTCTTAGAGTGCAAGCCACAGACCTTGTGCCTGGAATAGTAAGCTTTTGCATCACTCAGATCTACCTGGCAGCCCTCAACCTGACACCTCGGTGGCTGACCCGGCTGAGCCAAATTCACACCCCTTTGCTTCTTGGGCGGTGTAGCCCCAGAGGAAGAAGACCCAGCAGACCCGGATTTATGTGGAGCTCCGAGAACCGCATCCTCAAAGTAGATTTTCCGGCCAAATTTCAAGCCGTTGAGAGACTCGGTGGAGGAGTTAGGTGGGGAAGAGGAGGAGGAGCTCCCTGAATCGGTCATAGAGCTAGAGCCCATTTCCATGAGTGTCATTTACAGCCCATTCATGAATGTGATTGATGAATGCATAGATTGACAGAGAGGGAGAGAGAGAAGGGTAGTTTCTAAAGTAGTGGTAGTGAGAGAGTGATAAAGGTGGTGAATGTGGAGGGGTAGTGAAAAGCAGACACCTGACAATGGCCCATGCCAGCTCTGAGCCTCTTAGAGAGAGAAAGAGAGAGGCTTTGTTGGTGCAAAATGTGTGTGTGAGTGAGAGAGTGAGGTACACTGAAAGACTCTGACTGTACAAAAATAATGGAGCAAAACAGCAGAATAGAGAGAAGAGAGAGAGAGAGAGAGAATGGATGGGTGCTTTATGGAGCTCTCTCTCTCTCTGAGCCACTCAGCTTTACAAGAAGCTCCTTTCACTGTAGCTCTCTCTCACCTGTTTGTTTTTTTTATACACAACTTTCTTCTCTTTTGAAAGATTTTATAAGCTTTTCCCTTTGCTGGTTATGGTATGGATATGGGTGCCCATATGCATGATGCATGGTGCCCATCATTTTGCATTAGCTGGTGCCAAATGTCTAATTTGCCCCTGCTTTCTAGATTATTGTGTTTGCATTATGATTTACCCCAGATATAAGAAGGATAATACATAATAATAACTAAAAGATCTCAAATTTGGTTGATTGTTTTTAGAGAGGATCTTTTAAATGATTATTTAAAAAATAAACAGTTCTAACTATACTATGTTGTATATGGAAAATTAGATAATTCCAATGTGGGGTACAAGGAGGTACCCAAGTGACAAAAGCATTATCCGTATAAGAAAATCTCTATTGCCTCTCGTATCAATTACCGACTAGTCATTCTCATAATTGATGCAGTAATAAACTTCACAAACCGCATAATCAAATTCATTAAAATAATCTAAAAATGTAATTTCTCTAGCATTACTCTTAATTGAGTCACAAGACAAAAGAATTATATTTTTTTTAATTTAGGTAGAAGTACAACCATATCGGGTAGTTGGCTAGTACGAGTTAGTTGGTTAATTAAAAGAAAATAAAAGATGATGGATCTACTGGTCTATATATAGTGATGTTAATGCTGTCCGTACATTAATAAGCTGTATATCTATGCTTCTAGTGTTAGAGTCTTGTTTTGGTCAATGATTTTTGGTTGTTACTAACCCTGTTTTGGGTGGCACACACTGGTGTCTCTTAAAAGGGTCACAAATTCATTAGATAAAGCTTTCATGTACTTGAGTAGGACCTTCACTCATATGACGGCAACTATTCAAATAGGTAAAAAACAAAATCATGTACTGCGATTGGTTTATTTGAACATTTGAATTTCTAATTAGGGAAGGTGGTCACCAAGGTGGATAAAGGCATCTGAGGTGAATGTCCTCACCTTCAATTCACATGCCACCTTTCTTAATCGTATAATTTGGTCAGAAAGTGTCTAGTTATGAACACTTTCTTTTCTGCCTTCAAATAACATCATATCCGTGATTCGCGAAGGAGAATAACTATGTGAGTCCCTCAAACATACACATACAAAATATGTCTCTACTTTTATTGTATTGTGAATCCTGCGTGCATCAACGATAAGAATTAGTCCACTCGTACGTTGTGACTAGTTCTATAACACTATGTCTTACTGTTTCAATTCATATATGTGGGACCGTCTTGTAGATAATCCACCACTTTTCTAAGATCATGGGGCTTGGATTTCATGTTTGGTTATTTGTCAGGAACATTTCAATAGTGCACTAACAAGATAAAAGATCTTCTTGAATTAAGGACATTCTTTTTGGTCGAATTCTTGGATTAAGGACATGGTTTGAACTAGAAACTCAAATCAATGAAGTCATGTGTCTAAGCCTCCTCTTTTATTGCCGCCAAAAGCCAAAAACTCGGCCGCCTCCTGCAGAATCTGAATAGCTTGTCGGGACTCGCACTTAATCCAATCTCATACAGCTAACTCCTACCCTAGCCTACTCTGTTGGCCGTCAACTCACAACTTTTAGGGAGAAAGCATGACACTCTTGCCAAGGTCACATATCAATTTAGGGTGTGTCTTTGGTTAAAATTCTCATCTACTCTATGCTTTTGTCTTGTAGAAACGTCAACTTGTTAATCTAACGATTACAATTCATTTTAATCAAATACGAAGTGTCGTACGAAAATCTACTATTCCTACGTCATCCTTCTTCTTCTTCTTTAAATATGTTATTTTTCTGCTATTATACATACATGCAGAGGCGGACCTATTAAGTAAATGTCTTTGTCATTTTACTTTGATTTATTTTTATATTACTCTATTTACTTAAGTTTACAATGTAAATAAGGAAATGCCCCTCATTTGGATTCAAATAAAAATATTAGAAAATCAAATTCCCACCAAATCAAAATATGAAAATTTGGTTTTAGTGCAAAATACGAGTTAGGCTAAAAATGATGGCTCATTAAGTCAATATATACTTTATACTAAAATCCTATAAAATCAAGTTTTCTTATTTGATGTGTAAGGAACAAAAGCCGCCAAAAATTATCTTGAGAAAATGAGTATTCCGAAAAACCATTTTTCATACTTAGTCAATATTGTACCTCCACTAAAAAATTTCTGGGTTTGCTAGTGGCTACACCCACATAGAGCAAACATAAAAAAATTTCTTCTAGCCACCCAAAACGCCATATTTGAATCTTGAGAGCCAAGAGGAAATAGCTCTCCTCCTCTAAAAAATTTACCAAACTATCTTCAGTAGGTTATTCAATCTTGGTAAGTTTTTTTTTATTTTATATATATTCAATTTCCAATTTTAATTGTTGTTGTTAAGTTTTTATGATTTAGGATTAGGGTGAAAACTTTTGGAGACTGTTGATATATATTTTATTTTGGCAACTTGAATTATTAATTAGCATATATGATTTTTTTTAAGTTGGACAACGTATTTGATTTGGTATTTATTTATATTTTGTACTTCTTTACGTTATATTTGCTTGTAATGTGGCCATGTTTAATTTATAAAATTTTATTTACATTTTTGTTTCAAGAGAAAAAAAAAAAGGCTTATAATATATCTCCTCTATAAAAAATATATATATATATTTAGCCTACCCCTATAAAAATTCATGGGTCCGCCATTGGCTCTAACCAAACCATGCCCAGCCCTACTAATTATGTTATCCCTTCATGTATTGTACCACTAAACTTGGAGTTCAAAAAAGGGTTAACTTTACTTTTTCTTTTCTAAAGATAATAAAGTACAGCAAAGAAGTTGATTGAGCTTGAGTTAAGTAAAGTCATAACCACTAATTACAGCCATCCTCTTTAGTCTTGGTCATCATGCACTCCTTGGTGCATGGAATGCATGTTCTTCAAATTGCAATCCAAGTCCATGTCACAATGCATGGTTGGTTCCAATTACACGTCACCACCTTGGAGCCTCAGCTCCTCTCTCTCTCTCTCTCAACATTAAAATCAACAATATGACAAAATTTATTTTAATTTAGTAACAAATTTAAACTAAATCAACTGCAATTTGCATGAAGCAAAACCGTGTTTGGAAAAAAAAAAAAAGAAAAAAAAGAAAAGGGATTTTATATATTTTCCAATTGGGTTGTCCAAATCATCGGTTAGGTGGGAGTTTTCAAATTACAAAGCTTGGAAAGAACTTGGGATATACAATTAGGCAGAGATGGTGGCAATTAATTAATTAAAGGCAGAGAAGGTATTTGTGTTTGCGTCTAAATTCTAAAAAGATTAATTAATGAAATAATGAATATACATTTACCTTACCTGCTTTCAAATTCTTCTGGTTGGTTGACCACAATATTTAAAAATAATAATAATCATAAACAAACAGCAGCAAATCCCAAAATCCAGAAGGAATAATCCCATTCCATTAAGTCTTCTGACGTACTTAACGCAGCTGGAAAAGAAACCCTAAAAATGTACACGCAGAAGAAGACGTAGCTTCTAATTAATTAGATATATATTAACACCAATTTGCATGAGACGACCAAAGACTTGTAAGTTTAAAAAGAGGCATCCATTTGAACCAGCTTTGTGTTTGAAGTTGAACTTCTCTCCCTCAAGTCTTTATAATATCTGCAATATCTGCTCACCTCAGAGAGAGAGAGAGAGAGATGGTAGGTGGTACATTGGAGGTCACGTTGGTTGAAGCGCGAAACCTCAAGAACATGGATTTTATTGGTATCCTTTAACTCCTTCATATTTCAGTATTGTTTTAATTACCGGAAATCTTTTTTGATAATTATATTTTGTTCATATGTACTTGAAATTTGCAGTGAAGATGAACCCCTACGTTGTAATTCAATATGGAAATCAAAAGCATACAAGCACCACAGCCAAAGGTCAGCATCAGGCGTCAGGGCCTATATCTAATTATTCAAATGATCGCAAATGAAATTAATGGGGGCTAATATGTAATTGAAACGTATGCAGGACAAGGGACGAAGCCAGTTTGGAATGAAAAATTCAGATTCGATGCAGAGTATCATGATGGTGAAGATCACAAATACATGGACACTCGGAAGCTCTTGGACCACGATGTATTTGTTGGCGAATCAAAGTACGTGCATGATTTGCTCGCATATTTTTATCAGTAATTAGGGTTTGTACTTTCTGAATAAAATGGCAATTTTTCGTACCGTATGATATATATGGTGGATGAATTCTCACTTCTAGGAAAGTGATTTATATACGTGTAATATATTCTATTTGTTGTGTAACTGTGTTGCAGGATGTGATAGCGTCGGGCACAGAGAAAGGAAAGGCTGAACTTGGAGTTGCCAAGTATAGACTTGTCCTTCAAGACAAGACTTATGCTGGAGAGATCTCTGTTGCATTAGAGCATCCACAGTGGGGGGTGTAAATTCGGGGGTGTAAAGCCACTTTTACATCCCCTTTACACCTCCGGGGGTGTAAATATATTTTTTGCTCCAATGGGGGGTGTAAATTCGGGGGTGTAAAGCCACTTTTACATCCCCTTTACACCTCCGGGGGTGTAAATATATTTTTTGCTCCAATGGGGGGTGTAAATTCGGGGGTGTAGCCGTGGGTCCCAGCCTTTTATGTTGACTTTTCTTCATTTTTCTTCTCTTTTCTCGGGTGGGTCCAGCCTGCAAGAGATGTAAAAATGGATGTAAATATACATTTTATTTTACATCCTCATGGTGGTGATGAATATTTACATCCATTTACATCTCACCATTGGAGACCATTCCGGTGACTCGGGGTGTATATTTAACATAGGCAAATTATTCCTCCAAATGTAAACACTAGAATCACGTGTGTATATGAATGAGCCAGCTGTTGTTGTTAGTTGTTATTCATTAATTATCAAATCAATATATAAATAATATTACTTGCTTTAAGTAAACATCGAGCCGTCTTAGCTCAGCTGGTAGAGCGCGTGGCTTTTAACCACGTGGTCGTGGGTTCGATTCCCACAGACGGCGTTTCAGTTTATTTTTTATTTTTTGGCTTTTCAGTAATTTGTTCTGAAGCCTAAGCCCATCATATACTGAGTTTCTTTTTTGGGTCTGAGCCCATATATTGAGTTTGGACCTATATACCCTTTAAAAGGTCCATTTAAAAAATAAATTATAGAATCAGGCTCAGCCCTTTGGTGCCTTTAGCAGGTTGGGCTCTCTATGCTTTATTTATCCTGTTTGTTGCATGTAGGGCTTCTCCACCAACAAACTCCCTCATTTTCTTTGAAAATGACAAGCCACGTATTCAAAAACCTACTATTCATTAGCCCGGCCCTTTGCACCAGAGTTTGAACCCCTCATCCTTATACATTAGAATAATTTAGAATATCGCCACTGTAATAAAATAAAATAAAAAGGGTGCGAATGGGTCCTATGCAATTCTCGTCCAAAGATTTGAAATGTTTGGACACAAAGTTAACAGAATGAAGAGGTTGTCACCAATTTGTGGCCTCTAAGCATTTGGCATAAGTTGGCCTGAAGATTAAAAAACACAAGTCTTGGATATGATGCCCAAAGTATATATTCAAATTCGATCAATCATCATCCACATTTTTGTCCCCATAACCTCAGAAATCCCATTTGTATAAGATTCCTTGAAAAAGTTCTGTATAATCAGCAGCAGTAGTTTGCAGAATAATCTTTGAACATTTCACGTCCAAAACTGCAAAGACTTTGCCTTTCTCCTTTTGGCTCCAATGGGTGACTTTTTTTTGTTTTTGTTTCACCGAAAGTTTGTGATAATGTTATGTGGTGGATTGGATAAGGTATAAATTCCACAAGCACTTTTTTTGGGGCTTCAACAGTTTCTTCTCTACTATCTAAAATAGAACCTAAGCAGTAAGCACCGCCCATCTAGGGTTTGGTTTTTGAGGCTTCCATTTGAGCTTAGTTTGGAAGCAGAATCAAAAGCTCCTATTTTCTTGGTTTTATTTTGGATGGAATCTGGACCGTCCATTCATACAAGATCACACGCGCACATCAACAAGGACACTCCCACAGAAATTGATTGCAAGAAAAAAAAGAAAATTTGATTTGCCCTCAAGGAAGGAAAGGAGTGGTACTATGAAGTTGAAGGACATTTATGATATTTGCCAAGTTGTGTTTGTTGTGTGACCATCGGATAGGAACATTTGGCAGCATGTTTTTGTTCTCAAAGTGGTATGTTTAAAAATAAATAAATATTTAATTCTTGAGGCAGCTTTAGCTGAAAGCAGGACTACGAGGAGGAAGGAATTTTCAAAGGATAAAGGATTGGCATCAAATTAAAGAGGGACGGTATAAAAAAAAAAAAGAGTAAAAATATTGACAGTTGTTACTGCCTTTGGCAGATGCCTACCCCTCACATCTATCTACCTCAGACTGGTCGGTGTGCCAAACTACCATGAATTTTTATTTTCTTTAATTTATAAAAATAAAAAAAAAAGTATTTATTATTTTGTAGGACCTGCTTCACTTGAGAAAGTTGAAAATTATTGGAGTTATACAGTTGGGTTTTAAAATTATTATTTTTTGATGGCCTAGTTTCTGTAATGAATGTTTTTGATACAACCAAAAAGAATGAAGGCACAGACATCTCCCTTATCTTATTCAGTATGAAATATATAAATAAATTAAATGTTACCAATTAATTGGGTTAGGGCTTTCAGAGGGAGTAATTCTGTCTATATTTATTTAGCAGATGGGGGTCCAACACTACCTCGAGAGGCACCCCATACTCATTTCATTTTTTTTATACAAGCGATATTGGGAAAAAACTACATACCCCTTGCACGCTTGCACCGCACATTCATTTCAATTCAATATTGTCAACATCTTTTTTCATGAATTATATGGACAATTTCCAAATAATTAAAGAAATGTAACATGAAAGCCACATCACATAATAACATAATATAGTAAAAGATATATATATATATATATTATAAAAGATATAGAAAGAGCTGCGGGCTGCATGTTTGTTCTTGCAGCCGCTTCAGCTCCAACATCACCACCACATATACCATCTTTGCTGGATTACATAAATTTTCCCAGCCCCCCCACCCCGACTTATAACAAGAAAAGCATAAAAAAGGCACACACTTAAAAACAGTCACTTTTCTACCTATCTTACCACCATTTTCAAACCCACTTTTACTTTCCATCTTCATCCCTACCCATTACACACTCAAATCTACTTTTACTTTTACTCCCTCCACTTCAACTTTTTTCCGGGAAAATAAAGGAAAAACCGAAGGCGGGAAATTCAACTGATAATAAAAGTTATAAAGCAAAATAAAAGAAATTAAAAAAAAGATAGAGGCAGTAGATGAACTTTTTTTTAAACCCGGAAATTCTTCCCGGAAAAAGTTTGTCCGAACTGCCAATGACCGGGTGCCACGTTCCATGAGGTGGAGGTACGCCTGTCACTGCCCGTGACTCTAAAGGACAGAGTCTGGCCCACGAGGTCTGCATTGGATTGCCAGTTTTGTCCCCAGTTGCGGCTCATCGGCATCCACTCAGTGTTCGCGCCTTTAACGCTCACCCGCACGATATCTCCTGCGCCCGCGACGTTGGTGATTAGAACCAAGTTGAAGTAACGGAAGCCGTTAATTGTGAATCTCACTCCGCCTTCCTTTCTACATGGGACTCTGTAAAAAACAAACAGTCAAACTTATTACTGTGGCGACTCAGTTAATTACTGCAGTTAAAATCACTATATTAATGTTTGACTGGTAATTTCCGATGCGGGAGTGGCGCAAAGTCCCCATAAAGTTAGCGCCTTTCCATACACGCGTCGAACGGCGTCAAATATCTGTAACAACCCTAGACCCTGATGAAATCACTCATATGCCCTTCAGGACTTCACTAATTTACATGCTTTACTAAAGCAAACAACAAGGGTTTTCTAGGGTGAGGCTACTTTAGTCATTTTGTGCAAGCGTGGAGGAGGAAACGGATGTGCTTTTCGTTAATTCTGGATAAACGACGTAAAACGTGACGGAGGCTCAACTAACACACGAAAGGTTCTGACAATTCGGGCTGTTTGGTTCGCGAGAAAATTAAAAAATTTCTGCTGTTTGGTTCTAAAGAAAACGAGAATGTTCCTAACGACTACTCGGATGAGGGGCTCAAAAGGCTTTATTCTTGCCTGGTTTCTCGGCAACCAAACAGAATTTAGAAAGCGAAAAAGGAATACAAAACCGAGGGTATTTCGGTCATTTCAAAAACAAAAAAAGAGAAAAACAAAGCTGAAGAAACAGAGACTGTGACTGTGAAAGTGAGAGCGAGAGTGGGTTTTGATGTACTCACCGCCGGAAGGAGACGGGGACGATACCAGCTTTGTACTCAGCGATCTGGAGAAACATGGGCATGGCAAGGTCGAAGTGGGTGCGAGGAGGGTTGCACCAGCCGCCATCGTCGTTGGGCAGAGCGTAGTTTGGAGGACAGAAGTTGGTGGCAGTGATGAAGATGGAGGGGTTGCCTGGGTGGCACCATTTGGGGTCATCTCCACACTTAATCTCAAAGCAGGCTCCGCAGCTGAGGCCATTGTTGAACAGAGCTGTGCTCAGGGCCGCCGTGTTGACGCCGTAGCCCTCGCTGTAGAGGTTTCCGTACCCACAAGCACCGCCTGCAAAACAGAGACAAATGGGGTTGTTAAGAGCCTAAGAGCCTGAGATTCTGAAAAGAAAACGAGAAAGTAAGATATGGGTTTTGTGGTGGAAGAAAAGTTACGTACCCATGGTTCCAGAGGCGTCGCTGCCGCCATAGAAGGTGGCGTGTGCGCCCTCCCATGGCCCGCCGGTGTAAACGCCTGGGATTCTCGCGTTGGCCGCCATGAAAAGTGAGAGTAGTGAAGCAATGCAGAGCATGTGAACGAAAGCCATTGCCGCAGACAGAGTCAGAGAAAGAGAAAAAGAGCGAGAGAGAGAGTGTGATGTATAGGATTGGGTTGGGGGCGAATAGAAAGCGGGAAGAGGGTGGGGGTACGTATGGAGTTGTGAGCAAGGCATCAGGGGGTCTCTGGATATAATTAATGCCCTTTCTCAAGATCTATTTTTTTATTTATTTTTAATTTTTTATATTTTGTGTTTTTTCTTATTTTTCTTATTTTCCAAGTAATGTTTATTTTGGGTCACCATTCATTGGGGAAACATGAATTGATGTGCATGTGCACCACACATGGGCTCTCTTCGTGTGCATTTTGTTTGGTCAAGTTGGGGGCAAGTTGAGGACCAATAGGAAGGGAGAGCCACACGATGCATCTTAATTAGTCCCTGATTAACTAAAACAGGGTTTAATTAGCAAGAAAACAGTGAAGTTAAGGCCCAACCCTTTTGGTTTTCACATTGTTGATGTGAACCTTAAGCATCCCTAATCCAATGGGTCGACATAATTTCTT